CAGAAATCGGCTCATAAAGTATTCGTATATTCCTACTTTGATTATATGAGCAACACAACTTTTCATCTAAAAGCAGGAGTTTGTATTACAGTCTGTCAAATAGTCAACCTCTGACATTTTCCTAAAATAAAATGTTCAACTAATTGCTATTCTTTGATTCATCAGTTAGGACTCTCACTGAAACACGTTATCTGAGATCAAGGCCCATGGTTACGCGCAAACATCTATAGCAGCATACAGTACTTCTTTCTCCCCTCTTCATAAGATTGTTACTTTTTCCCTATCCAGCCAACTACAGAGCAAAGAGGACCTTCATTTTTATTTTCTTTAGCACAGACTTGTATATCTCAGGAATCTGGTGTGAGGAGGGATGCTTATCCTGCTGCTACAACTCCCTCCATCACCACTGACTGTAAGATCTGCTCCTGGGAGAGATGTAGCCCCTGGGGGTAGGAAGGGAATACCTGCTGCTAACTTCAACCAAGAGCATTTTCACATTGTGCCTGAGACTTGATGGGAAGAAAATTAGGAGAAGTTATGTGCGTCCAGGTTTGGATACCGCTTACAAGAACTGAAGTAGTTTTAAATATTTTGGTTTTGGTATTGTTTGAAATATGAACAAGGAGAGAGAAAGGACACTTTATGAAAGAAGATTTCCTATTAGATTAGACAAAGAAGGGTCTAATTCTGGGTCAGGTTCATTATATAAGCTAGATCAGGGAATTAATGTTTACTGTTGGATGAAGAGCTGTATAGATTTAGTGCTGGCTTTCTGCATAATGTGAATTTCATAGATTGGTGTAGAAGAAACTTGTAAATTGAGCCAGAAACTTCAGTTTTTAACAAAAATTCTAACCAGCCCTGAAAAAAATTCTAAGAATTTCCCTTGCTTAGACTTCTAAAGAAGAAATACGGTATTCTGTTTAATTTTCAGATGGTAATGTTCATTTTTCGGAATAAATGTACATGCACATACACATACACAGAAATTGGTTTACTTCAGTTTACTTCAGTTCTGTGTATTTTTGCAAAGGCCATGATTATCTCCAATAAATATGGCATCCAGCGCATCTTTTTTCGCCCCCCTTAAAGGGAGCAACTGTGTAACTTCCAATGCAGTTGCCTAGAGCTATACTTGTTGCAAGACATTTGTGCACATGACAGCTTTAGCCGGCTTCCTGGAGTGAATGCTTCGCGTCTAGAAGGGCTGCAGAGACTATCAAGCAGTTCTCTTTCTGGCCACTGGGCTGATGTTGTGGAAAATTGGTTTCCAGCTGGATTCTCTCACTTCCTCTGCTCTTATATTTTGGTTTCAGAATATCAGCCCATGATTGAGGGTGAGCATAAATAGCAGCAAAGGAAGTAAGGCATGGAGGCGAG